AGTCTCCAGTGACCACTGTTGCAGCCTCTTCCATGTGATGGATTTCTTAGTTTCCATGAGCTGGTGCAAACACATGGTATTTGCCTTTCTGTCCCTGGCTTATATCACTTAGTACAACATCCTCCATTTCCACGCATTTCAACAAGATTTCCTTCCTTTTTATGGCAGACTATGTGTATATAAATCCTGCTTCATGTATTCATCCAATGATAGATACTTCGGTTGATTCCATATCTTGGCTATTATGAATACTGCTGCAATAAACATAGAAGTGTAGGTATCTCTTTGATTTAATGACTTAGTTTTCTTTGGACATATACCCAGTAATGGGATTCCTGGATCTGTTAATTTCTAAAAGAATCTTCATGCTGTTTTCCATAGTGTCAGCTCTTATTTAAACCAGGCATTTTCTTGGATTATTTTATAAATTGGGCATCTGTATAATATTCCGGTTGAAGAAATTTCTACTGCTTATACAAACAGCCACACATAAAAAATTTGAATATAAAGACTTTTGGCATAGCATAAGAGACTAATTTTCTGGTTTAAGTTTATGTCTAAACTCAGGAAGATTAGATCCGCCATGGCTACAATCTATACTCTGTAAAAGAAGCACAATGAATAATAGAACTGGCCCATGTCACAGCAGTAAATAATGTCACCCTGCTGGAGATTCACCTTCTGAGTAGGGCACTAGAAAAGCATAGAATCCAGCTTCTTCATAGAAGAAAGGGATGGAGTGACTTTCCCAAGGTCACAAGGCTTATGTGGGAAGACACTGCTTTAAACACTATGTTTAGTTCTTTCTAAGCTACTGAGATCCCAAGGATTTGGCACTGATAAAAAATATTGGTCCTAATGTGATTTATTGACTTGGATTTTATTTGAATGTTTACTAGTAAATATTCCTGTGTATATCTCTAAAAGGTAAACACGTTTTCGCATTAAAATTTAAATTTATTTTATTTATTTGAGAGGCAGAGAGAAACAGAGTTCATAACTACTGATTCATTCCGTGCATACTGGCTGAACCCTGGATCTGGGAACATGGTCAGAATCTCCCACATGGATGACAGGGACCCAACTATTTGATCTTATCACCTGCTGCCTCCCAGGGTGCACATTGGCAGGAAGCTGGAATCAGGATTGGAGCTAGGACTTGAACTCAGACCTCTGATATGGGATGTAGGTTTCCCAAGCAGGGTCTTAACTCTAGGCCAAATGCCTACACCATGATGAGTACTTTTAAAAATAACTAGATTAGGGGAAGGCATTATGGCATAGTGGGTAAAGCCACCACCTGTGATGCCAGCATCCCATATGGGTGTTAGTTCGTGTCCTGGCTGCTCCACTTCCAATCCAGCTCCCTGCTAATGGCCTGGGAAAGCAGCCCAAATGTTTGGAGAGACCTGGATGAAGCTCCAGGCTCCTGGCTTTGGCCTGGCCCAGCACTGGCTGTTGTGGCCATCTGGGAAATAAACCAGTAGATGAAAGATCTCTCTGTCTCTCCCTCTTTCTCTGTTTGACTTTCAAACAAATAAACAGATCTTTATAAAAAATATCTAGACTACCATTACTACACCTAAAACAATTAACTGTAATTTCTTAATGTTATAAAATACCCAATCTGTGTACAAATTTAGGTTTTGCTGCAGGGCTTTAACAGTAAGCTGATCAGGTTTGCGTGATCTCTGGAAAGTGATCTGACCTTCTTTGATCTCAGTTTCCTCATCCAAGACTTAGAAATGATTCTAGTATCTTTAAGATTGTTCTGAATATCAGAGGACATCTGCCAAGTTCTAGTGCAATGCAGCCCACGTTAAGTGCTTAACGAACCACTGTTGAGATGGTGGGAAAAAATACTTGGCACATGCCAGATACTTAATCAGTTTTAGCCATTATTACTAAAAAACAATTTTTATTATAATAAAATTTAAATTAAATGATTCAGTAAGTGCTAGATCTACAGAGATGAACAGTGTCTGGAGGGTTCGGGGACAAACATCTTGAAGGAATGTCCCTGTAGAGGCACATGGACAAGGCCTGAAGACAGGAAGGACTCTCCAGATGGAAGCAGAACTGAACTAAGGGAAGGGCATGCCAGCAGCTCCCATGGAAAAATTAGAAATATGGTAGAAAAAAATTACAAATATGGTACCATATAGTTGTGGTTTCCCCACATTATCCCTTGTGTAATTGGTGAGTTGTAAGATGATCTGGCTCCTATCTTGGACATCCAATAAATCTCTAGCTTCAAATTTGAACATGATGGCAGAAAAAAAAATGTTATGCCTAATCCTTACTGCTGTAAGGAGGGTGAATCTTGGTAATTAGAAGGGCCTTTTTGCTAGTCACAAATTCTTTAACCCCAACATAAAGTGTTAGGTATGCAAGCGTAGAAAAATAAACTGGGAAAAAGTTAAATTGCTTCACTTGTAACGAGAGCTGAGAGGTCTAGCATGGAAACGCTGCATGCTGGAGGGGTGAGGAGAGGGGCCCCAGGCCTGAGGCTGCGAGAGCAGGGGGAGGAGCATGCGATTCCTACACTTACTTTTGCTGTAGACTCTTTTAGAGTCTAGGGAAGCCAGTGGACTCCTTCTGGGAATTTTTAAAGACATAAAATATGTAAGACTTAAAACAATGATAGTAAAATAGTTATCAAAATTGTGGAGAGAACATAATGAATAGGTTGAGCACAGGCAATGAAACTCTTCTGTATGATACTCCTAGTGGTGGATATGTAACATAAAAGATGTCAAAACCCACAAAACATACAGCTCCAAGAATGAACCCTGACGTAAACTAGGGACTTGTGCAATGATGATGTGTCAACGTTGGCTCATCGCAACAACCACACTACTCTGGTGGAGGATAGTGATAGTAGGGGGAGCTGTTTGTGCATGTGGGGTGGGAATATCTGAGAGCTCTCTGTGAAAGTAAGATTGTTCTTAAAAAGATATATTTTTAAAAGTGACTCCATTTGTGATGTAGTAATGTCTACACCTCTTTCTTATAACTTGACAAGATCTAGGACTGAGTCTAACAATTACCATCATACAAAGTAAAGATGACCATAAATGATATTTCAAGGTATCTGCAACTACAGTCATGTGGCATGAAAGAACTATGATTTCTACTGGCAGAACAAGTCATGAGAACTACAAATAGTACACTGGTTTTGTTGATGACATTAATGATGAAAAGAAATGCTAAATTTCCATCATAAGTCATTGAAAATAAAGATGTAAATTATCTTCCAGATAAAGATCATCTCCTTGATTGCCATCCTTGGTATCATTTGGGGAGGAGGGCAGCTGGTGGATGATTAAGGACACCCTGCCTAGACCCTGGAATACCCAAATAATCAATCCACTTCCTCCCTTCTCAAAGGCTCTGATATTCTGTCCCATTATTGTCTTCTCCTAAGTCTGTCTAGGGAAGGTGGGTTGTTTTTTTAGCAAGTAAAGCCAGTGTTTCCTGGAGCCAGATGACCCTGCTTATTCCTGATATCCTCTGATATTCAGGATAAGTAGAGCTGCCCTTGACCTCAGCTGAGGCAACGTCCTGAGAAGCTGAATAAGAGGGAGGGAGCACCATTTAGGGAACCTTCAAACCTACTAGCTGGCCTTTTATGTTGGGTGCTGGAAAGACAGCTCTCCCTCGTTGATTACTAATAACAATTTGTAGTGTGTTTATGGTACTTTTGAACTTCAAAGGACTTGGCCTGTATTATTAACTAATGATACCTCAGTTTTGCTGTTGAGCTGATTAGAGTAGGAATGCTTTCTTATAAAAGGCTCTGATTAATGTTGCTCCACTATTTCTGAGATCTTATTGAGGTGAATAAAAGAGAGATATGCCCAAGGATAATTAAACCATTGTTTCCCAGGGCCCCCCTACTCTTCAAACAGAAGGAGTGCTCTTTAGGTTAGTGATAGCACACAACTGAATGATAAATCAATTCATTTCTTCCTCACCAAGCCCAGAATCTTTTTCAAGACAATATAAGGGTACTTTAAAATGTTCATGGAGAGATGGAATTAAAAGGTAATGTGCATTTTCCACAAACTTTCTGAAGACCTCTCATATTCCAAGAAGCCATTACTAATTCAAAAAAAATAATTTCTCATGATGAACCATATTTGCCTTGGCTATGCTTTTTGATAAGATATTGTTACATAGCCTTTTGTCAATCCCCATCTTCTACTGTAAAGGCTAGACTTGTTAGAGCATTCATGACTTCTGTCAACTCAGCCCAACCCAACTTTCCACCATCATGTTCTACTTCAAAGCCAGATGCTATATTTCACTTTTTCCCAGACACCTCTCACATCCTGTTGATTTTGTGCAGGTCACTTCTCTTGCCTGGAATGTCCATGCCTTTGTTTTATGCCCTTCCTTGTACCCCGGATATGTGTGTATATTTCCCACCAGCCGACTCTTCTTGTAGCCTTTCCAGGTGACCTTCATTCCTCCCTCCCACATGCTTTATGCCTGTATTTCCTGTCACTCCCTTGTCTCATGTTGCCTACAGTTGTAGTTAGCTGTCAACGTCTATATTTGCAGCAGGATCATAAGGCCATGAAGCACAGGAACCACATTTTTCTCTCCCACCCTAATGGCTAGTTTGGCATCATAAATGTAGAAGGCATACAAAATATGGCTGTGTGAAAGAAAATGGATCCTTCGGCACTGTTCAACTTTGAATTTCTCTAAGAACTGTGCTTATGATTCCCAAAGACTAAGGAAGATTACCTCTGTAACTACTTACCTGATACTTAGAAAAAACTAGCCCTTCACGAGCCATCTAACCACTCACTTGATCTTCTTTCCAGTCACATTATCCTAGATCCCGACAAATCAATCCCACCAGGCTGCAGCAGGCTCCCCCAAAGCCTGGCGTACCTTTTTTTGTTTGTTTTGCAAGTCAATTCTTTTTATTATTTTTTCTTTTTGAAGCCTGGTGTAATTTACATACTGTATTTTCATTATTTCTGTAGGGCTGTGTCTTCTGTCTGGCTTATTCTTCCTCCTTACCCATCTGGCAAACTCCTGCTCATCCTGCAAGGCCCAGATAAAGTAGTTCCTGAACTTCATAGGCTTCCTCATCTCACCATGGCAGAGTTAAAGGCTCCCACATTTGCTTTTTGTCAGCATAACATCAGGTGCTCAGAAACCAGTTGCAACAGAACCGTGCGCTTTCAGCCTTTTGTTCATAGTAAGCCTCAGTCAGAGAAAACTGCCTCGATCAACAACAGTGCAGGGCTTTGCATCCGTCTTGCTAAAGCAGAGCATTTGGTGAGGAAATGGGATGTGATTACGACTGAGAGGGCTGTGCCCCTGAAGGCTTATTTTCCTGTGCATAATATTCCAACTCTGTGCAGAAGCTTGAGACAAGAAGGAAGAGAAAAAAGGAAGCGAGGAAGGAAGATTGGTGAGGAGCAGAAAAGGCAAACTATTCAAGCCTGCAATCTGAGCGCAGTTCAAGCTAGATGCCCCTACTCTTAGAGCTCAATACCAGAATGTTGCAGACCACGCTCATAATTTAGTTTATGGCTGATCTTTATAGTAATAAAAAAAAATCTAGAAAGAAGCTGCCTGGCACCATTTGCTGAAGACGTTTTTTAATACTGTCAAATGATTCATAATTATAAAGGGTGGGTGTACCGTGTTCGCTCTGTAGTGGTTATGTGGAGACTCATTAAGCACTGTGTGCATCCAAGAGTCCTGTTTTATGTAAACAAGACCTCTGAGGAAGATATAGATGGGTAATAAAGATGAAAGGAAATGAAGCATATTAACGTGAGGACAAATTAATAACGGCCTTTCCATCCTCTAACAGGAAAAATCAGTTGCTTTGGAATAATTGCTCTTTTCAGTGCAGAAGGGGAACAAAAACCCAGACAAAGCAATCAACAGAGGATGCAATCCGACGGGGATCCTGGTCACACTACTCTATGAAGACAGTCTGCACCTTCAGAAACGTACCTGCTTGCCCTGCCAGGCCTCCGAGGGCAGCTGCAAAGAGTTCTTACCTGGCCCCAGATGAAATCACCTTCAAGGCTTTTTTATGGTCACTGGGGCTCTCATGGTCACCGGGGCATGAAGAGGCTATGCAAATGGATGGGCGAGCAAGTAAGAGGAAAGTAGAAGCATCCAAAGGCTGAGATGGCAGGGAATTGAGAAAGGAAGGAAGATAACATCTGTAAAACACCATTTCATTTCTCTTCTCGCAAAATAGTGGGAGCCTGTGTGGTGTTGAGATTGGATTGAAATGAATGTAGTGTTAGCGAAACAAGGCTGAACTAACACTGGTGGAGCTGTTTTCATATCAGCAATTTACTGTCTGAATTCCCAGACAAGTAAGTCAGCTAAACTGAGTTTATAACTGACCAGGGTCTGTGCAAGTCGCCTCATTACACCGTAAGCAACCTGTGGGATCACCCAGGCTTTTACCTGGCTGAAGCCTACTTGTCCATAGTTGACAAGAAGACAGCTCCAAAGGGCCTGTTCCCTGTCACTGAATTCCAGGTGTTCCCACAGATGGCCTCTTCCCCGAATCTTCAGGCCTTTCTCTAGCCCTGGCATCCAGCTGTCTTGCTGCCTGCTAGTTTCATCAAACCTCTTTGGTTTGTTTCTGCTGGTGAATTGCCCTGAGCAAGGCAGGGACTATGCGGAGATAAACCTGCCAGCAGGGGTGCACAATTTAAGGAAACACTTTGTCTCAGGAGCTTACTCCGCACTGACACAGACTTGATAGTAAGTGCCTCCTTAAAGTTTGCCCCATGGGTTCATTGCTACTGCTCTAGTCCCCATTCTGGGTGGGACACGCAGTGGGAGCTGGAGGGAGATCTGTGCCTTGGGTCAGTTCAAGGGACCTCAAGGCCAGCTCCCTCTTACTCAGCCTTTTCTCTTTGCCTAAACTTCTCTTTCTATATAGTAAAGAATTGTATGGGGCCGGCGCCGTGGCTCAATAGGCTAATCCTCCGTCTGCAGCACCAGCACACTGGGTTCTAGTCCCGGTTGCCCCTCTTCCAGGCCAGCTCTCTGCTGTGGCCAGGGAGTGCAGTGGAGGATGGCCCAAGTACTTGGGCCCTGCACCCCATGGGAGACCAGGAGAAGCACCTGGCTCCTGCCATCGGATCAGCGCAGTGCACCAGCCGCAGCGGCCATTGGCGGGGGGGTGAACCAACGGAAAAGGAAGACCTTTCTCTCTGTCTCTCTCTCTCACTGTCCACTCTGCCTGTCAAAAAATATAAAAAAAGTATGGTATTTAAACATCCACAGCATGGTGAGTGGCACATCTTGCCTTCTTGTGGCGCTCAGAGAGAGCCATCTCCACTCAGTCATGACCAAAATGAAAAATGATCACAGGCACTCGGCAGCTGTTCTACCTCATACTGGCTTAGAGTGTCCTCATGCTTGGTGAAAATGCTTTGCTGTTGAATCCTTGAAATGAATAATTGGAGTCCTGCATTTTTACTTTTTTTGTTAGTCCTACAAATTAGGTAGCTTGTCTTGGTTCCACCTAACAGTAAATTTAAAAATATCTGGTATATAAAATGCTTCCCGCCCCTTTAAAACCTTTCCTGACTATTCTTGGTGTAGGCAAAATTCTTTAAAATGGCCTATACGCCATGGCGTAGCAGGTAAAGCTGCCGCCTGCAGTGCCAGCATCTCATATGGGTGCAGATTCAAGTCTTGGCTGCTCCACTTCCTATCCAGTTCTTTGCTACGGCCTGGGAAAGCAGTAGAAGATGGCCCAAGTCCTGAGGCCCCTGCACCCGCGTGGGAAGACCTGGAGGAAGCTCCTGGCTCCTGGCTTTGGCCCAGCTCTGGCCATTGCAGCCAACTGGGAAGTGAACCAGCAGATGGAAGACCTCTCTCTCTGTCTCTCTGCCTCTCCTTCTCTCTCTCTGTTAACTCTGACTTTCAAAAAAATAAATAAATCTATAAAAAATAAAATGACCTACACACCCCTGCGTTGTTGGACTTTAGTTCACTTCTCTGGCCCTGTATCTGGGCCCGTTCCTCCTTGCTATCTGAACTCTGGGTCTTTTAGTTTTTTTGTTTGTTTGTTTTGTTTTTACAGTCTTTAAATGCATCACATTTCTCCTGACCGCAGGGCCTATAAAAAAAAAAGGCTGTATTTCCTGCCTGTAATACTCGCCTAAGCTCCACTGCACAGACCTGGCTACAACTGCTTGTCCTTCAATTCTAAGCTCAGACCTTAATTCCTCGGGAAGCTTCCCTGACCTACCAGGCTAGACCAGTTCCCACACTCTCCATTCCCACAGTGCTCCTCCGCATCTACCCCTGTTTCTAATTAAATCAGTGTTCAGTCCTCTGATCCGTCTCCTTCCACGGGACTCCATGTTGTCACATGAAAGATACTCCATAAATAGTTGTGGAATGGAAAGACAAGGAAGAAGCCCAGGATAACCCTGGATGGAAATGTGCCTGTGTCGGGGCTTGGCCTGTGGCAGAAGATTGGAAGTGGGAGGTAACCTCTTGGAGGAACTAGAACAAACCTGGTGCCCTTTGGCTGTGTCTTCTAGGCTCCGATACCCAGTGCCCCATTCAGAAGTCCTGCTCTGAAGTCGCTCAGCCGCATGCTAGCTTTTGCAGAGGGGCAATGATGAATGTGCACAGCTTAATTACAATGAATTCAATTCTGTGACAGTCAACCTTTATATCCCGGTAATCAGGGCAAAACATACCGTGCATCCAACACTTCCAGTGAGCATCAGAGCTTCCCACTTGCAGTGTGGTCTGGTAAGCATTGTAATAGTTGGGGTTTTCGTGTCATCTCTGCCTGCTTGCTTTAGTGACATACTTCCCTTTGGTAGTCTTACTCACTTTGAGAGACTTGTAAAAGCATGATTTTTTTTTCCTAACTCTCTGGTGTAGCTCATTTTGTCTTTTGCTTCCTTTATCTTTTCCTTTGCAAGCCACTGAAAGTCAGGCACTTTTCTTTGATTTCCTACTACGGTCCCACATTCTGGTATTATAAATTTTTTATTTGTGATCTTTGAAATACACTTCCCCTAACCCCTACCCCCAGGTCAAAGTGACAGCTACTTGTTGTCAGAACAAGACTCTCTCTTGGCTGTAGGACACCCAACTGTCTTTAAACTCCTCCCCGCCAGGCCCCACCTGCCACATCATTTTCACCCATGTCCTTAATGCTGTTTTCTTTCCATGAAATAGTGTAACTTTCTACCACTTCTCTCTCTGACAGACTCAGGTCATCAAGAAACAAGCAAAAAAAACCTTTCTTCTTATAAAACAAACAAAAAGACCTAGAGATGGTGGCCTTTCCAGGTAATATTCAGTTGCCTAAAGAAAATTTTATAAATTTTAAATATTATAATCAAAATGTGGAGGGCCCAGCAATGTGACAGTGGGTAAAACTGCTGTCTGAGGCGCTGGCTTCCTGTGCACGCTGCTCCACTTCCCATCCAGCTCTCTGCTACGGCCTGGGAGAGCAGCAGAGGATGGCCCAAGTGCTTGGGCCCTGCACCCCGACGTGGGAGACCTGGCAGAAGCCCTGGGCTCCTGGCTTCTGCCTGGCCCGACATTGGCTGTTGCAGCCATTTGAGGGGGTGAATAAGTGGATGGAAAGTGTCTGTCTGTCTGTCTGTCTCTCTCTCTCCCTCTGTAACTATGCCTTTCTGCCTGTCAAATAAATAAATAAATACAAAAGAAAGAAAGAAATGTGCGGGCTTCTCTAAGGAACCATTTTTCAGCCTCGTCATCAGCAGCTGTTGATGTCACTGACATTTTCAGCGAGGGTGACAAGAGAACGTTCATCCTTTCTAATTCCTGTTGTGCCCCTGCTACCTTGCTGTAGCCAGGAACACAGGCACTGGGACAACACATTTATTGTTAATCCACGAGTGATGCTCCAGTCACCGATGAATTAGGACAAAATGAAAATTTAGTGAGAACACACCTAATTTCAGATGACTTTGGATCTGGATAAAGGGTTCAAGGGTTAGGGAACCTTTTTTTTTTTTTTCTGCCAGGGGCCATCTGGATATTTGTAACGTCATTTATTTTGCAGGCCATACAAAATTATCAACTTCAAACTCAGCCTGCCGTAGATTTATTGAATTTCAGGTCCTGTGTGCAGTTGCCTTGGCAGGACCAGTGATTTCACACGCTGAATGCAGGCCAAATGTTCCCCACCACTGACTGCTCTTTCTTGGAATCCAGAATAGCCATTTACCAGGGTGGCAAAATGCTTCTTTTTGCTTTGGCTTTTTGAAAAATGTCTCCCACTGATTCCTTTCCTACCAGTGTTGAAGCAAAAAAAAAAAAAAAAAAAGGCAAAGAAAAACAGCGACTTGTCCCATTTTCCTCTTAACTCTGGCCCCCTGAGTGTCTCTTTATTTCTCTTGCTTCCGGTTTCCTTTGCACCCTAGGCACGGGTCCTACCATCTATGTTCCATTAATAAATCTTTCTAGCTACCTGCTGAGCATCAGCTGTAGGACCTTGCACCATTGTTTCCCCCTTCTGAGCCTTGGTTCCCTCCACCACCACCACCAAAAAAAAAAAGTCACCTTCCTAGTGGTGTTGATCAGTTCACTCATCCATCCGTTTATTCAGCAAATATTTCTTGAGCTCCCCCTTGGTGTCAGTTGCTGTTCTAGGTGCACCCCAGGGCTGCAGTAAGGAGCAAGGCCAGCCCTTGCCTTTTCACAGAGTTTGACGCAGAGGACCTGGGTGACAGTGAGCTGACAAGTAAGTCTGTAGTCCGTCCAGATGCGCCAAGTTCTGCGAAATGAATGAAGCCCTGAAGAACCTTAAAAATCAAACCAAGATGGAGTGATCTAAGCCAATACCATTAAAAACAAGAAGTCACCTTTGCCCCAAATAAAAATTAAAGTTTAAAATTACAGCCCTAAACTTCTTCCCCCAAAGCTAAAATTAGGTGCAGCTATAAAATAAGGGACCCTATGCTTAGCTAGCTGCGACACTTGTGCCTGGCTGTGCTAAGACCTAACCCAGTTTGTATGCCTCCTAATACTCAAATAACGGTGTGGGAAGCGGGACGCCGCTCTCCCACAAGGGGAACAAAGGGAGCGAGACGTCGTCCCCCCTCAGGGTGAACAAGATGGTGCTGGCAGGGAAAGGAACTACTGAAGAAGTAAACAACAAAATGGCGACGAGGTGCGTGCCTCCCGTGTGATCCCGTAGCTGATTGGATAGAAGAGGCATGCCCTTCACATGATCAGCTCGCGGATTGGACTGCTGTGTGCATGGACTCTATAGTGCTTTAGATTGGTCGCTGCGGGTATATAAACCGTGTGGCTTTGTGCTGGGGGCGTTCTCTGGACTCCCGAGTTCAGGAGGCCCGTCTGTGCAGACGCCGAATAAATGCTCTTGCTTTTGCATCAGCTGGTCTGGAGTCTGAGTCTCTGGGGTGTGCCTCTCGACGTGTTAGCATCCTCACTCCGAGGGTCTAACGGCCCAAGTGGGGGAGGAAGGGACAGGAGGGGGCTGCTGCAGGCTGCGTTTCCTGGGAGGTAGATCTGAGAGGGAGCTTCTGAAGGAGCAAGCTCAGGATCAACCTCTGTGGAAGCAGGAAGGCACAGGGCACAGAAAGGCCTCTGCTAACCCCACTGGGGTGCTCCGTGTCTGAGCTGGCCTTTGTGGATTGACCCGTGTTGGGGCTGGGCATTTATCACTCTGCCTTGAACCCCCATAGACTGGCGCTCCCTCGGGGAAGGTGTCTGTTCAGCAGAGGGCAATTTTTAGAGGAGGCTGAGAACCCAGGGTTGCCAGTGGGCATCACCCCCAGCTCCTGAGGGAGAAAGCCATTCAGTGGAAGAGGAGCGGGCACCATATCCTCTCTCGGTGGCTTGTGAAGGTGTCTCAGAAAGTTTGTGAAAGAATGGAATTAAAAGGTAAGTTTATTTTAGTGTCAAAAAATGTTGACATGCATGCATAGTTTTTTTTTGTAATACACATTCTCCATGGACTTAAATTTTTTAAAATTTGAAAGAGAGCAAGAGAGAGAGAGAGAGAGAGGTCTTCCATTCATTGGTTCACTCCCTAAATGCCCTTAACAGGGCTGGCACTGTGGTGTGGCAGGTTAAGCTGCCATCTGCAGTGCTGGCATCCCATATGGGCACCAGTTTGGGTCCCAGCTACTCACTCCCAA